CAGTCCATTTTTCAGACTTGGATGATTTATGAAATATTAAGAATGCTTGATCTTGGTGTGCATGTACGTGTGTGCACAGCCTAATACTGTGGTTCTTAAAGGGCTTAGGGGAAATTATACATACCCCTCATTCCAAATAATTGGTAGGAATAATTATCCTTAACATGCTGTAGGTTTTGCTCCCATTTACAATTTCCCATCATCCACTCCGTGGACTACTTGCCCTATATGCAGTTCATAGAAGCTGATGACTAAGATTCCAAGATGAGACATGTGAAATTGTTTAAGAATCCCTGGCCTAGCTGCTGGAAAAGCACAGTTGGGGCTGGATGGTCATGCAAATCCTCTATGCAGCTGAGAGTATGGAAATGTACAAACGTATTTCCCCTTCTTTTGCCAGAATTGTCAAAAAGCCCTTGAGTAAGACACTAAAACCTGAACAATGTTACGGAATTCAAACTCAATGTACGGGTTCTACTCATCTACTCAAAGTAAGGGTTAACAAAGCCTTCCTAGATGTAAAGTTTTGTGACATGTGAGGTATTGGACTTGTACATACCTTCAGCTGAGCTCCTCTGGTTGCACACAGAAAGTCCTGAAATATACAGGCTCGTATAATTCAAGTGTTTTGCTCTTGCAGCCGCTTCTGTGCCATCCAAACCAAACTGCCAAAGTACACCATTACCCTCCTTGGCTGTTGAGAACAAAAATGCATTTCCAGCCTTTTAGGCTATTTAAACAAGACTAGATGTGGAGTTTCAATACAAATCTGGGAGTTGATTTTCATAAAAGTCGTTGGTAAAAGGTAGGATAGTGCTCATTAAGTGTTGGATTAGGTCATTTTGTTCTATCCATTAAAATTCTGTGGGAACACACTATTGTGATTTAAACCCAAAAACATCTGTCTCCCTGGATGAGTCACTTAATGGTAGCCGACTGAGTGCTGCATTAAAAAGAAGGATTGTTAATGGTCCCATTTGTCTAGTTTTATTGTCCTTAAGAAAGTTCTTTAATGATCACGTGCCAGTGGAGGTTTTCTGGTGAAGGGCTAATACCAGCTTTACCTGCTGGAGGTTTTCTGCAGGGTTTTCTGCTGTGGTTTCAGTCTGAACTAGTATTTGATAAGATATTTGATAATTTGATATATTGTGATTTTAGTACATTTGAAATAAGACAGGTTTAAGAAATAAGTAATGCTTACATTGTAGCTAAACACAATGAGTCCTGTTTTTTAGCCACAGCTAGCTGCGATGCTATGGAGATGGCAATGTCTGTCAGTTGGTTGGGCGCTGCTTTGGCCCAGACTGAAACAAGTCAACATATGGATGGATTGTCATGAAAGTTTGCACATGCATTCGTGGTCCACAGAGGATGGAGCCTAATAACTTAGGTGATCCTACTGGCATTCATGGTGCCCAGACAATGTATTCTACTGACTTTCCTCAATCTCCACCATTAGGTTCACATTTGATGCTTTGACTTGAATATCTTGACAACTATTAACTATTATTATATAAATTACAATAAATATCATAATGTTTTTAGCCAGTGCCATCATCTGGTAAAAACTTCTCTTGATCCAATACTCTGATTTATAACCAAATGCTTTTGAAACATTGAAACGTTAACATGTTCAAATATAAATATAGCCAGGTTGGTAAATAATGCAAAACTTGCGTATAAAAAAAAACAAGTATGCCCTGATTGTCTTTCACAAACCAGACATATCCGACATGACTTTGTTTAAGATTTTATAATGGTGGCAAAGAGCAATATGATCTGCCATCCTTGTTCGGCGTTACCTGCATTCCGCATTTGCATCAGATCTGTAAGTGATAATTAGCTATGCCATGATCCATGTAATGAAAGATTATTTTTGGAGATGTTCACAGATCACAAGTGGTGGGAAAAGGCAGGGGGTGGGGGGACAAGCACACTGAAAAGAGCCAATCTTCCCACACTGTTTAAAGCAAGGGGATAGTAGCAGATGGTAATGTGCAACAACACGGAACGCCTGCTTAGTAACAGAGTTTTATATCACCAATACAGAGCAGACTGGAGATGACGCTTGTGCTGCCAGCTTCAATAAGTTCCCCATTAGACATGCTGTCTGGTATGTTTGTGTACAGTACACACACACACACACACACAACATGCACGAAAGCACATGCACCGTTTAGTTCTTATTCCCCGTCAGCTCTGCATTAATAAGCTCAGTATTCTTCCCACATTTTCAGCATCTTTTCATGATCTTCCTCTCTTGTCTTTGTTCACAGCAAACGTAAAAGTAACTGAATAAATCCAGGCTCCATTTCTAAATCCATTTTTACTTATTACGTCAGAAAACATTTGATCAAAAGGAGCTCTTTTGATTTAGTAATTAATCATTCTGATAAAATAATGAACCCACCTTGATTGTAAAGTACACCTCTAAAAGCTTTGATGATTACATTGACACAAATGTTAAAAAATGCCCTTGCTTTTCTGCTTAAAGAGTCAGAAATTTGAGTCTTGATGATCAAAAGAAATGGCTGGACTGGATTTAAGCTTTTCTGGCTACTGGTGTGAAGGAGGAAAACAGACTTTTTGCCGTGGCCTTCCTCTAATGACCTGAGCTGCCATCTGTACTCAGCTCTGTGCCAGGCGGGATCTGGGCCCTTCCTTACATCTATCAACACAGTGAGAGGGTAATGATACAGGCGAGCCAAGGGGAGGCAGCGGAGTGGCCAGACAGCTCCATCTTACTCCTCAGGTGTCATAGTGACCTACACACACACACACACACACACACACACACACACACACACACACACACACACACACACATACAATACTGACTTAGATTTGGTTGATATTGGCTAAATCTACTAATCTTGTTATTGTTTCTCTTAGGCCTGCAGTTCTGAAGTACATTTCAATCTTATTCCAAATTCTATAATTACTTTCCCCTCCCTAAGATGGAAAATGTTAACTGCTGTTCTCTGTTGGTATGCATTTGTTGATATGTTAAAATGTCACCCACTGTATCTGTGAACTCATTTACTGATGGCGCTGCATGGCGTTTTAGCTCCAGGGGGAGAAGCCTTTAAAGGTTTAGGAGTAAACAAAAGGAGACTGATATAATTGGCCTCTGAGGGTAAATACTATTTCAAATGAGCTCCCCAGAAATACTTTGAAAACAACAGGCAATGTGTGGACTTCTCATTATGATTTTCTATGTGATCATGACCCTGTTATTGAAGTGCACTGAAATTACCTTTGTGCCGCCCAGTTATTCTCCAGTTCAACCCTTGAATGAATCAAACCTCAGTTATTGTTTTGATTTTATATTTACACATTTTAGCTTTGTGGGTATTCAAAGAATTTTAGAAATGTCAACCCTATATTATAATACATATTCTGCTTTCTGATTGCTCCAGTTGTTGAAATGTGCATAAATGTGTGAATTACCTGTAACTTGAGAAAAACAAAGCACTGACGGTTAGTTTTTATCCTCTAGTAAAAACTACACAGAGGGTGCAATACAATACTGATCTTAGAAATATTCCAGGAATACTACGGGCAGTGTACGTCCATGATCGTCTCACTCTTCTGCAACTACGCGTTGCCACTGTGATGTGACGGTGACACTACTCTATAGACTACATAGGGTACAATATAGTATAGTATTGAGTATTTATAGTATATAGTTTAGAGAATATTATAGATCCAAGATGAAACTGACAGAAGGGTGGGACTGAGAGAAAATGGTGCAGCTACAAATAAACATATTTGGGCCATAGACTCGCACAAATGTGTGTGCACTTGCACAAAACTAACAAAACTAACATATTCAACTAAACAACCCCTCTGCCCCGTCACTCTCTCTACTATTAGGGGATGGAGAGAGGGGATGGCAGGTTCACAAGGGGGATGCAGTTTGGTAATTTTGCTAACAAGGGTATGGCATCCCCCCTCAAATCACCTACTGCTGACAGTCGATAAAGGTGTTGCAGTACTATTTTACCTATCACACCTATCTTCATGAGAATTCAATTTAATTCAATCAAAATAATTGCGCCAATCTGTTCAATACAAATCATTTTAAGAACTGAAAAATAAAATGCTCCTTAAATTAAAACAATCAATGCAGCAGTAACTGTACAGAAATATGAGATGACAAAAGAATTGACTTTTTTGGAGCTGTCTGCTTGTATCAAATGGCTCTTTGTCCTTTAAACCGAAACCATGCCACTAAGTGAGTGCTCTCTGTTGTATTCTGCTGCAACTGCATCAAGTGTGAGCGCTGGTTATTGCAATGCTTACTAGAAGCAGGGAGCTGGGTACAAAAATGCCAGTCCATCCCACGGGAATAAGAAAACTTGTTTTATCCAGACCACCTTGAGACTTGATAGAAAAAAAGGGATAAATGCAAGTTTACAGGCTGGAGACAAGAAGACAAATTACTTGTAGAATGGAATTTCAATGAAATGTAGCAATGAGAAAAGGCCTGTATCTGTCTACTGTATATTGTATCTCAATAGGCTGGGTAGCCACATCTTTATTTGAAATATTTTCTACTCAAGTCTCTTCAGTGGTAAGACTAGCAGTATGCAGAACGCATGGAAAAGTGTCATTGAGTTGTGATAGATCAATAGTCTGCTTTTGCTACCAACATGATAGCATGTTCATGGCGGTTAATTAATTGTGGAATACCTGACAGTTTATTAGCAAAGCATATTGATTTATAACAAACAACTGTTTTTGTCAACTGGAATGGTGATGAAGCCAAAAAATCAAGCCCTCAGAATAAATGCGTTCCATATGTCAGCTCTGAATGGTTGTTGCTATGCCTGTCAAACTGCTTTAGATATTGTGTCAGTCACTACTATAAATCCCCCCCCGCCCCCCTTCAGGCTTACATGTGTTATCCCAATCTGTAAGACACACTTGCTAAAAGACTCGAAAAGACCCTGGCTCTGTGCATGAAAAACATGAGCAAGCGTGTTATGTATCTTTTGTTTAATACAATTTGCTTTAACCACACATCTGAAGTAATCTTGTTGCAACATAACAATTACACATCAACATTCTTCAAAAGAGATACAGCTGGAGTATACTTTCAGACATATTTGATCACAACAAGTACAGCTGGAGGGTGGACTACAGTGTGACACCACCTAGGAATGTAAACAACTACAGCATTGTTTGTCTTTTTAATTTTGTGTGGCCAAATGTTGGCCTATTTGGTGAAGGGCCATTATAATGCACAGTGAAATATCATATTTAGGCTGTCCTGTACATTTGCTTACTTTCTCATTGAGACTGACACATAGATTAACACATTATTGCACTGAGCTACAGAGAGGCAAACGGTCAGACATCAGTGGAAGAAGTGGGCTTTCGACCTAGAGTTTCAGCACTTTGGACAGCTCCTCGTGCAGCCACATTGAATGAACAGTGTCACCCAAACTGACCTGGTGTCCTGCTAAAACTGGTTCAGTGTATTGACTCATTAAGACTGTGTTCACTGGGTGAACTCCGGCTCATGTTTGACAAGCTCGCCATGAGGGATTTGACTTTGTGTGCGTAATAGTTCCTCAGGTTGACAGAGGGCACCTCTTTTATCCCTTCGTCGAAATCGCAGCTTCTCATTGCGACCTCCAGTTGTTTTTGTCTCTTGTAGAAGAGAGAGAATTTATTAAAAATTAGCGTAATCGGAAGCACAACTACTAAGATCCCGGCCAGGATGCACGCCGAGGCGGTCAGCTTGCCCGCTATGGACACCGGCACCACATCTCCGTACCCAACGGTGGTCATGCTTACGGTGGCCCACCACCAGCACGCCGGGATGGTAGAGAGATCCTCGCTGTCCTCTTTCTCCACCGTGTAGGCCATGACTGAGAAAAACGACACCCCGACGGCCAAGTAGAGAAGCAGCAGGCCCACTTCTTTGTAGCTATTCCTGAGGGTGGCCCCAAGGGAGCGCAGCCCCGTGGAGTGACGGGCCAGCTTCAGGATGCGGAAAATCCTCATCAGCCTCAGCACTTGCGCTACGCGTCCCAGGTTAGCCAGCGCCGGGCTGCTCTCCACCACCAGGTTTATAAGGAGTGTCAAGTAAAACGGAAGTATGGACACCAAGTCTATCACATTTAACGGGTGCTCGAAGAAATGCAGAAGATCTGGCGCCACTGCGAACCTGGCGACCAGCTCCAGAGTGAACCAACCAATACCAAAGTGCTCCACAGTCTCGAAACGGGGGTCCTCTGTGGGTTGCCCTTCACTGTCCAACACGCTGAACTCGCTCATGCTGTTCATGCACATAGTGGCGATGGAGCCAAGCACCACCAGGATAGACAGGATGCTGATGATGCGGCTGGCCACTGAGTAGCCGGGGTTATCCAGCATTAACCAGACGCGCCTCCGTGCGCTCCCGAGCAGCTGCTTGTCAAACTTGGTGGCGTCGCTGTAAAACTCCAGCAGCTCGTCAAAAGATGAAGTGGTGCTCCCTTCATCGCTTCTGTCATCCCAGTCCTCTCGGTCCTGGTCCATTTTCCTACAGTGGTAGGCGTTGCTGCAGCAAGAGTCAATAAAGAACTCGTTGATACCCCAGTATTCAATCTCCTGACTGAAGGAGAAGATGCACAGCTCGGCCATGACGTGCAGCCGGCCCGTGTTATAAAAATTCAATACGTAGGGGAAGAGTGCTGGATTCCTGTCGAAGTAAAACTCTTTCTCTGTGTCGTCGTAGTCGTCGCACAGCTCCAGTATGGACTCTTTGGACTGACAGTGGAGTAAGCGCGCAAGCCTGGTCTCAGGGAACCGGGAGAGAGTGTCGGACTGGAGACGCTTCTTAAAGCCGCCCACGTTGATGCTGATGGCGGCGTTGTTATCCATGTGAGCCTCGCCGCTCGGTTTCCCCAGGACCTGACCTGTCATGTCTGGAGAGAGGGAAGCACATAGACGCACGGCGCACAGAAGGAAAGAAAGAGTGACAGACAAAATCACGTTGACACAAATACAAAGACAGATAGAAAGAGACAGTCCACACAAAGACAAACACGCACATTCAAATCGAAGAGAGAAAGAAAAAGGAGAAAGGGAGTTATTTTAAATTCAATCTATCCTTTTAATTATTACCACACTTGGTTTTTAAAGTAAACGACAAAATGCCCATTTGTTGCAACCGCGTGTTTTCTCCCAAATTATGGAAAGGCTAATTACACGAAGAGCAAAGATTTTCACCCTTTGGTTTCGTTGAAACGAAAGCACGCGTCAGAACTTACTTTAAAGCGCGGCCAGTACAGCGAATCCCCCTACAAGAAGACTCTGCATTTCAACTCCGGTGATGGCATATTGCAGTTTGTTGCCAAGTTGCGGCCCTATAATAAACGCAGAGACCTCTGTCCCCTGGAGTCCAGACAGGCGCCTCTCTGTCAGGTTGATTTTCTCAGTCTGGGCAGAAGTGGAGGAAGCCTCTTCCAAAGGGACTCGGCGCGATGTCAAATATGATGTTGCCTCCAGACAGAAATAAATGGACGTTCCTTCCTCAGATATACCCGAAGGCTTGTTGTAGCTGGTAGTCCTTACATCCTGCACCCACTGGATTGTAGCCTACACCTCCTTCAGCTACAGGTATCGGCTACATTTATAACAGCACATTCTGAGAGCCATAGAATCTGATACACGCCCTGGCAGTAGCTTTTGCTTGTGCGAGGGAATTCCTCTTTCTCTCTCTCTCTCTCTCTCTCTTTCGCTCTCCTCTTTCTATCTGTTGCTGCGCAGCAACACGTAGCTCTCCCACTGCACCGCCCTCCCAAAGGGATCTCAGCATCGTGGTGCTGAGGGGCGAGGCGAAGCCCCGTGAGGAGAGATGGAGTCACCAACTACCAACCCACTGACACAACATCAGGTGAAAATAAACTATGCGTTTCCAGTGTCACTGGGAAATATCCTTTATTACCAGAAACTGTAAGCCAGAAATATAAGATGCATTTTAGGCTACTCTGTAACACAGCGGTGCCATGGGAGCTTTAACAAACAAACAAACGACCAAAATGACCACATGCTGCCAGAGACAGTTACATAGAATTATATAAAAAATAATGAAAGAAGATTTACCATAACAGATTTTAATGGCCACTGTGTTAAATCGTACTCTAAATGGTAATCAATGTGTACTTCTTTGACCCACAGGGTGAAAAAAACAAAAAGAATGTCAAAATCTGGGCAGCAGATAGCCTAGTCTCCAAGGGTTATTTTTTTCAAACTTCATATAGCTCCTCCAGAGCCACAGAAGACATTATACAACTGTTGTCACAGACTGGGAAGTACTCCTCTGAACTTTATACAAATCACTGGCGCGCCCTTTAATATTACTATAGTTACTATAGAGTTAAATCTAGCCTAATGGGTACCATAGAAACAGTATAAGTGTCCTGTGAGTTTTACAGTGATTTTCGATGTACTAGTGACAAACACTGTTGTTTATATTTAAAAAATGTTAATGTTTGTCACACGTGAGGACCAATGCTTTCATGTAAAGGTTACAATTGATTGTCAAGTCTATAGTCATTGATCACACACATTCACTGCCATGCCATGCAGTGTGGATCAATAGAATTGTGACATTCAACCCATGCCTCTGTGTCCTCTTGAAATAGGCCTACTGCTTACTAATTCTCACTACAGAGTATATGAGAACATGATGCTGTTTGAGCCAAGAAAGAAATGTATGTGCTTTCAGCACTGACTGCCACCACCCTCGCCACCATGAATCTCCTCTTATCAAGTCAGTGGCTGCATCATTAACAGCCCTGTCTGGGAGAACATAAAATCAGTGTTAAAGCTGTGCCCTTGTGCAACAGCTTTGCTTTGTAGTGCTGAAGGTTTTCTTTTCCCAGTGTGTCTAATGAAGTTGATAGCGGCTGCAGACAAAAGCTGCTCTATATGAATTCTCTTGTATGTGTGCTTGTATATAAGTTAGCTCCTTGTCACAGGCATTTTGCACACAAGAAAGGCACGATAATGGTAAACTTATGATTACATCCAGAATGAGTTTATGGCAAGTCTAAGTTGTTGACAGTGGGGCCCTTTTCAGTCCCAACACTCACTTTTAAGTAGACATGATAATGGTTGTAGCACTGCACTTCATTCTGTTGAATGAGAAGACCTTAAGTGAAGGTTTTAGTATCAGCTATTGCTCCCTCGGGATGTGCCACTGGGATAATCCCTTCTTTCAGATGTCATTTACTGGCCACCCTGTTTAAGACACCAGGCTTGAGCTGCATTTGAAAATACATTTAGGATCACTGGAAGGAATTTCCGACTTGCTGTACTGTATTGCAGCAATCATTTACAAATATAACCACAGGCTGCAGGCATGACTGGAACTGTTTACTCCTAAATAGGATCTTTCATTCCGAGATATTTTACTCCCCAGCAGCCAGCACATTATTATTTGATCACATATTTTTTCTCCCAACAATTGGAGATTAACATGCGCATGAAAGCCCATGAGATTGCCTGTACAGACTGGGTCTTTACAGTTGTATTCACACACGCTGTGTCTTCATTCTGCATGCTTTTAAGGGTTTAATGAAACTAAAATATATGCTCTTCAGGTACTCCCAATATGTTATTATACTGTAGATCATGTCATAGGCCTCTACAGATCCTCCACACCCACACACAGCAGATTTGTAGGATTTAGGAAGCTTAACAAAAGCCTTGAAAGCACACACAACCACTCTCTGCTGATTACAATATTGTGAAATCACAGACTTTTCCTTATTAATACCCATCACTTGTGGGATCCATCTGTGGTTGTGTGGGAATGTTGCAAAATGATTATAATCCTATTTAGTCTATTATTATCCTCATCCAGCAGGTTCTTATTGAGTGCCTGGGTATCATCCTCTGTTCAATTATGTTTGTGATCTGTATTATTGTGATTATTTATCATCACTTCTCACTGTCTGGAAATGCCTTATAATCCCATGTAAGCAACAACATGCCTTTACTGTGGCACATTTGGGTGCGGTCAGATGTCACAGCTTTTAGGATTACATTATTTGGTGACAGTCAGTCTTTATCCTTTACCTGCCGGGAAAGATTTCATTTCTGTGCCGCATATCTGATTTAAGGGGAAATAAGGAAATAATTGGAGTCTTCTCGCTCTGCAAACTCCATCAGTCCTGAATAGTATCTCTGACGGTGCACACACACCTGCTCATATCTTATTAGCATGAGTGAAGAAGCTTGATGTTTGTAATAACAAATGTCATCTGAACTTTGTTCAGAAGTGGTGAGGCAGTTCCTTCTAAATTATTTGTGCTAACCACAGTATGATCTGCAGATTATTCACTTTCTGCTTTTCATTGAGCAGGGCTGCTTTTGATTAATTCTTCTCCCACATGGTTGAGTTTAATGTGCTGCTTTGTGGAGGAGTAACTATTCCTCATAGCTTATTCCTCAAAAAGTCTCATTAGATCTGCTTTCTTATTGATAGCAGGGCTTGCTTTTCAAATAAATCCTTCTGTCTCACTTTATTATGGCAGGTTTGCTATATTAAACTAAATTATTACAAACAACCAGTGGTGGAATAAGTACTCAGATCTTTATTTATGCAAAAGTACTAATACACAAATGTAAAAATTCAAATTCCTATTTGTGTAAAAACATACAAGTATTATCCGCAAAGAATATTAAGTAAACATACTCATTCTGCTGATATACAGTCTTACTGACATTATTAGATTGTTAATACAGATGCATCAGTGCATTGTACTAGCATAGCTAGAATGAACTAGATACATTTAAATAGTTTAGTCCAGTGTTTCCCAACCGTTGGCAATGGTTAATAGGGTAGGAAAGAAGAAAAACTACATGTTCTACAACTATTTGTTTTCCTTTTTTTTGGTGGTGGTGGTGGTGGTGGTGGGGGACCTCTTTGGGCCTTGAACCATTTTTTTAAACTCCTTGAAAAGTTTAGCAGTGAAATGTCTCTTTGGTGCAACTGCTAACAGCTCAGACATCGGAAACATGACAAGGGGCACCAACTAAATGCTGCTTTTTGGGGATAACAAGCCAAAAATGTTGGGAATTACAGGTTGAATCTTTACCAATGCGTTATATTTCATAAGCCTATGTGTTGTTTTTATGTAAACTTTAAAAGTGACTAGTAACCATGGCTGTCAAATAAATGTAGTGAAGTCAAACATAATATTTTCCTCTGAAGTGTAGTGGAGGAGAAGCATTAAGTAACATAAAATGTGTGTATGTATGCCCACGTACCTCAAACTGTGCTTAAGTGCAGTACTTGAACAAATGTGCTTACTTTTCACTACTGAATACAAAAATGTAATGTTGAAAACATTGAGAAAATGAGTCTCAATTATTTCAACTTTGAACTGTAAGTCAATAAACTATTAACTTAAATGATGGGGCAGGCTTTTGCACGCCTGGCTACAAAAACTGTGACAAAATGTTTTATTCAGAACCTTTTTGGTCACAGTGAAATACGTCCTCCATATTAAATCTCTATCATTCAAATTCTGCACACTCTTGGCAGGCTTTCATTCACATCTCATATTTTTGATGGAGACTTTTGAAGAACCCCAGTATAAATTCAATCATAAAATAATAGACAGCTTTATTGTTGTGTCTCAGCCCCGACAGATGAACAGTAGATAAAAAAAAAATGTCCTCAATATTAAAATGATCTATGCCTCGAATTTCAGGCTCTGACCTTAAATTAACTCTTGTTTTTGCTCTGTATATACCTCCTTTTCAACAAAACAGTGTTGTTAGTCGTTTCAAAAACAGTTTAAACTGAAGCTTTTGTGCAAATATTTTACAGTTTATTTTCCAGTGGATATGTTAAGATAATTTATCTCATGTGTTGAGACTGGGGTTTGGAGTAAAGGTTTTTCAATGAGGAACTGCTTTGAGCTCTAAGAGGACCAATCAATTACATAGTATTTAATCATTCTAACACTTTCAAGCCTTCATTTTCAAATTTAATATTCCATAATCATACCCACACGTTCAAGAGAAGATAATCATTCAGCCCATTTAAACCCCTCAGAGAGTCAAGATCACATTTTCTGTAGTCCTTCAGTAAGTTTGTATGAGAGAGACAGAGGAAGGCGTAGATATAGGATCGATGGAGATGACAAAATAAGAAAGAGACAGAGAAGAAGAGAGAAAGTAAGAAGAGGATACGGTTATCTCTCTGTTTCCTCTCTCCCTCAAAGCCCGAGGTGCAGGCTCAAGTGAGAGTGTGTAGGAGTTTTTGTGTCGACTAAATCTGCTTCTCCCAATCTTTTGCTCGGTTGCCTTTATCTTTATATTTTTATTTTATTTACCACTCCCTCGCTGTCTTTATGTGTCTCTCAACATTTCAAATCCTCTCTTTTCCTCTCTCACCCATCTCTTTTATTCCTCAAGCATATTTCCTCGCTTCAATCCGCCAACATTTGAGGTCAAGGTTCAACTATACGCTGACCTCATCCTTGACTGAAAACATCAGGGTGTCATATGAAGCACTGCCAGGGGGACACCTTAACCACTGGGGAAAATGCCACTGCCTTCTACCCATGTCAAAAGCTGTCAGTCAAAGCTCCTTCTGAATCCCTGCCAGGACTGATGAATGAACCAGCAGTCTCTGGAGAGATTTAAAGAGATTGTAAGAAGGGGGAATCTATTAAGTCATGTTATTCCAACATGTGAAATAAAATGTGCTTTCATTCGTCTCCCCTCTTCCCCTTCACGCCACAGTAATCACATCAAATGGGCCTTGATTATTGTGGCAAAGAAAGCTGGCTGACCCAGGACAGAGTGCAGACACAGAAGGAGCAGAATGCATGCAGATGGAAACTGGAGACGCTTATTCACCAGCTTCCAGCTCTGAGCACTGAAGTGTGTGAGTGTCAGTAATTATACATATAACATATTAACAAATTGTTATGCCCGTGTCAATCTGACTGGAGTCTGTGCTTGACATGATGAGCACTGATTGGCTCTGATGTCAAGCAATACAGTAACAATATAGGGATAGGGTGACTCACACAAATGGTACTGCAATGCATTCTTCCATCACCAATATATTTCTGTGCCTCACCTTCATTTAGCTTTTACAGTCAGGAGGGAGCTCAGGGCTGGACTACTGTGTCTTTCAGATTCACTGCTTAGAGTAAACACTCTCCCTTGCTTTGACTGACTGTCCTTCACCCTCGGACGGTGAAAGGACATCTAGCATTGAGTCATTGTTGACCTCTATTTTCACTTTCTTCTTTTTGCTCTGAATCGATTTTGTACCTCAGGGTCATCGATCTGCTACATAGTTGTTGTACTGTACACGTGAGCTGAGCTTTTGACCACAGAGAGACACAACCCGACCACGGGCACAAAACAAACAAAAGGAGATGCAAAACAACCACAAAGAGATGCAAAACGGCTACACATGCTGACCACAAAGAGAAACATAATGACCACAGTGAGATAAAAAAGATGGCAGCTTTTGGAGTTACAAATAGCAGCTTTTAATTTATTTTATTTCATATTAGAATATTTAAAGTTGTTTATTTGGCATCCATTTACAATTCATTTACAGTATGTAGTCAATTCATTTACAGTATGTAGTCAACATAAAAAAAAGACTATAAAATCCGTTTTATAGGTAGGCCTAGATCCTTGTAATACTTTCTTTGGAATATAAACTTTAGTTATGTGGTAGTGATACAAATTAAGGTATAGTCGCCATAAAATGTGTGTGTGTTTGTGTGTAATGGTGTTCATGTGTCAGGAAAGGCTGCTTATATCTGACAGAAAGCAGCAGCCCCATCTGCTCATGGTCATTTTGTTTATGTTGAGCACACCAGAACAAACAAGCATTCATCATTCATCTATTCACAGAGGGAAAGCCGGATCAGTGAAATCGCATAAAAGACAACACAACAATGTATCTCAGTTCATCCCTTTGACCTGGACGTACCCACAGCTGGACCCATATTGAATGGAGATCAGATACTGTTCTCCTGATGTGGCCGGCCTTGTTTGCATCATTGCTTGTTATGATGCTCCATTTTCCTTCTCCCTTTCAGTTGCTGATGAGGTTTCTAAAAGTGACGATGAGGATTGGACATTTGCAGATTCATACACAGTGAAATGCCTGTTGTCTGCTGGTGAGAACACCATCAGCCTAAATATTTGCACATCATGTGGCCAGATGTGTTGTGCGTGTTGCACAGCCTTCTGGGAGATTGTCTGTCATCCTGAATGTGCCCAGCAGGTGGCAACATGTTTAACACCAACCAGAAGCCCGGTGCCCACAACCACGTTTGGGAATCGTTGGAGGGCTTCTTTCTTTCTTTTATCTTTTGTGTTAGGCTGCATCAGGCAAATACATGTTTAGTTCATTACAGCTGCACCAGTATGTGGTTATCCGTGGGAACCGCACCTGTTCGCATATGCTGCCTTCGAGTGCAGCTCGTGATGTCGTACAAACAAAGTGGGTCTAGAAATAAAACACATAGGCCTACGCGTTGATTGAAAATGTTTGTTCACCAGGCAGGCAACTGATATTTTAATATATTAACTGTAATCTACCCCGCCCCAAAAAACTTGCACTAAAGAACGTTGCGTATAAAACATAAATACTGTTTAGGTCTACCGTATGTAACTTCGTTAATTGAAAAGTCCATTTTCCGGACTGCACTTGAAGTGAGCACAAACTCCTGATCCACCTCGCAGCAACGATGAACTTTTCCCTGAGTTTCCACTGAAGCCACTGGGGCGTGGGATGCATCGGATGGGATAAGATGAAAAACGGTGGACAAATATGTCAAGAGAGTGGGAGCTAGAGATCTAGAAAAAATATTATGTCCTTATTAAATGATAAGGAAAACATGGCGAACTCAAGTTCTCCACTTGCAGCTCCTCCTATGACCTCCGCTCAAGCTCACCGCGCTGAGATCCTGGAAAATCCACTCCGGGTAAGTTTGTTTAAGTTTCAAACTGTTTGGTCAGGTGCAGGGGAGGAAAGTGTATAGGTACTGTGTGGAGTCTAAATTGTGTTATATGAGGCAGTATTTTGGCTACAGCAGATTATAGCTGATTAGAGGCTGGGGAATAGGGTCATGCTTGATAAAACCACGACCATGTGTTGTAAGATAAACCAACTCAAATTCTTTGATCATACTATAAAGGATGTTATAGTCATTTTATATTAGATATACATTTATATAATAAGAAGCATGTGTCTTTTGGAAGTACAGTGCTTTGTAAAAATATTAAAATGAAAAATATTCCGTACGGTTTCACCCTTTGTTTTCAAAAACGTCACTGGACGAGGCCAGCGTTTTTGTCAATTTATATTCTAGAGCAGTCATTTCCTTTGCTCACGGAATACTGTGTGGTACAAATCATGCTGAACCTGTTTCAGCTGTTCAGCTTCACTGCAATACTGCAGACTGCAGAGACAGGAGGAAAGTTTCGATCTTTCTCCTTTTTTAACTTTCATGAACTTTGCTCTATGAACTCCTTTTGGAGCAGGAAATTACGCCCGAAAGCACAAGAAGAGATTAAGTTAGTCAAAAAAAAAAAAAAATTGTTGGAAGTCAAAATATAACCTCAGCCTCCAAAGCTCTTTGGGTAATGAGCACTCAGTATGGATGAGGAAGCCAGACAGCGCAGAGATCTATCGGTGTTGGCACTTGTCAGAACTATTTTCTAAAGTGATCACGACTAAATCATGGTGTTGAAAGGCCTATTCTTTTTTTTGTTGAACTTTTAACTTTGTGAGTGGACTCACCTGACTCTGTGCATTAAGTTGAGTATGTGCAAATCTGTTTTTGTATGGTAATTTAAAGTCCCTCTCTTCCACTGTGTGTGTTTGTTAATTTCCTGTAATGCGTGTGTCAGTCTTCTGCCCTCCTACTCTTGTGCAGACACACATTCTCCTCATACTCATCTTCCCCTGTCAGCATGATTCTCTCTTTCTCCCATGTTTTCTCTATGTGACATTACGATGGGGGGCACAGAGAGAGAGAGACAGACAGAGAGTAACAGAGGAGGAATGAGAGGCGTAAGTAATGAGTAATGGCCCATGGGTGGGTTGTGAGAGAATAGATCTACTGTAAGAGTCCTGAACAGCTGGCTAATGGTCCCAGCTCTCCCTCTATCCAATGCTACCCACCATCCCAGAGAACATCCTGACATCCAGGGGACAATATCTGTCTGTCTAACACTTTAACTGCCTCCCACACTTGAAAATGTTTGCACTGGTCCGACTGAAAATTATGGTGTTACCAGAGTGTGCCATGGTTGGCTCACCGGTTATGAGATGAGAACATAGGATGTCATCCACTTGTCCCCAAAAGACAACTGTCCTTGGTGATGCACGCCTCAGTGGTTTCTAATTTCAGTGTGGTTAAGTCTGTTTTTTTTGTTGCAGTCGTTTTAAATTTATGCAGGAAGAGCTACTGTACTACTAAAGATTAACTTGCCAGTTTCCATGGTAGGTGAAGAAGGCAGGTGATGGAAGAAATATAACTGTTCAGCAGAAATACCTCTGCATCAAACATGGCTACATCTTTCTACTAAGTTAATATTTAATCCTAATAAAATTAGTATGTCAACATAAATACTCTATATCCGTCCTTCTCACTTTTCTGTTCTCTTACTCGCCAATCTGTATCTGAGCTGACACTCTTCTCACGCTTCTGTACCCAAAACCTCTGAGCAGAAAGTGAAGTGCTTCATCCAGAAATCAGCCCATCCCAGGGATGGACAGATCCCCATTGTCACTGAACACAAAGAGCCATGCTGTCTATCTGTCTGTCTGCCTGTGGTGTCCTAGCGAGGAGGAGGGGGAGGGGGAGGAGGAGGACGATCATCGGTGCTGTCAGTCCCTACATCAGCTTTAAGGTCCATTTAGCTTCTGATGCTTCAGCTTTAGTTTAGATTTAGGCAGGATATTTAGACTTGCTGTTAGCAGCAAAGCAATCTTTGCAGATGGGCTCAGGCTTTGGTGTTCTGATCAAGCGATTACAGTTGGCTTTGTGCGAGGACACGCTTATGAAAAATTGCTTGTCATGAGAGTATATATGTATGCGTGCAGTATCACATTTGTCTTTATGAGGAAGGTTAGTGTCCTTAGAAGGTTAGAAGAAGGCTGCAGGATTAAGAATATAAATTAGGGTTTAAGGTCAAATATGAAGCCCACATATAAAGAAGGTGTGTGTGTGTGTGGGTGTGTGCAGGTGTGTTTGAATTGATTATGTAAAGTTTGTACCTTGAAGGTGAAAAACTTCCAGTGAGAAACTACTAGAAACTCAAACTGACTTTATCTCTGACATTTATGTAATAGAATTTGCACAATACACTGACAATAATTTAATTTAAAAGAAAAAACAGAAGTTCAGTAATTCCACCACGAGAGTAAGCAGAAAAACTAGTCAACACTGTTTGACAAATGTCCTTATTTGTGCCTTGATGATGAATGTGCTCATGCAGTTCACGTGAGTTTTTGCTGCCTTTTGTATTTGATGATACTGATATTCAAACTTGCTCGCCAGCTGCACTTGGAATAATGACTTTTAAGTGCTAGGTAAAAGAACTCTAGGATCTTCTTTTATTGGTTGCCTAGTTTCCTCACAATCCGTATCCAATTACCTTCTCTGATCGTCACAGTATTTTTAATGTTTCTTAAGAGTTTGGCAGCAGCTTTTAAAACTAACTGTTATTCTTAGTCTGTATCATTGTGTCCTGTGCTGTTCGCAGTTAAGCTTTCAGTTCTTTAGTGTCAATTGTTCTCTGTTGACATTTTGTGCAACTGGATTCCACCTTTGTAACACATTAATTACATTTTGACAGAGCGAAAAAGCTCATGCGGCTGGCCTGCAACATCCCTACAATTACAGAAGACTTCATCAGATACACAAAAAGGGTGTAAGTCATCTTTTTAGAGCTTATGTTTGACAGTGTCCAGTAAGTAAGCCAAATGTGCCAGCCAGTGACTCTCCAAAACAGTAGGTCAGAGTCTGTCCCTCCTCTCTGCCTGCTTGGTCAACTGACTGACGCAGCTTCTCTTGATAAGGATGCTCTGCTATCCATTGACAAGGTAACCCAAGGTCCAGATTATCTTTATTCTGTTTCATTACAGACATACTGTGTGTTGCATGTGGCTTGTATAACAAAACATATGACTTAGGTTAATCTTAACATGTACGAGGGGTGAACAATAACCTTACCTTATATTAAGTAAATCTCTGTACGTCCAGGAAGGATAAATATCCCCAGACAGGAAGTATCCTTCAGATTTGGTTTGGTACTACACTGTGTCCACACTATGTATGTATGAGTTTTCCTGAGATCTTCTTCTGAGTTGACCTGCTCCTAAGTATTTTCATAACAACTTTTGCACAAACCTTTACATACAAATTACCTCAGACCTCAAAACGTCATTCTTAAAATCTAAATCATCAAAAATATGTGGGCATGGTCCACTATTGCTAATCTACACTTCCTCCAGCAGGAGTACTGGGGTTAATTCTCAATTATTTATTAGATACAATTACACATTTAACCCATATTACTGGTTTATAATTACTAATGCAGTAATTACTTTGTAATCTGCTGTATACAGTGTAGTTTCATTTATAATAGTTCTGTCATCACGCCACGGTGTGCTAACATGTAATATTTTATAAACTGATCATATGTTTTGTATGAAAAGGCTAAAAATGTACACTTACTAGTAAATGTACTTAGTTTCTTTCCACCATTGCAAAGATCAAGTGAAATATTTCCCATGCAGCTACTGTACAGTGAAGTTTAATAGCAGAACAATGTTCAGTAGTAGCAAACACACAAGTACAGTGCAACACAGGCAGGGAGCTTTGTGCTGTGAAGTCTCTCGCTTTCCTTGAGTAAAGTGCGTAATGTTTGCTAAGTAAGCCGACAAGCCAAAGGCACTCCCAGTGTCCCGGCCTCGCCTGCCTCAGCTGCTTTGTTTGCTCTTCCTGTGACAGGAAAACTCTCTCTCTCGTGTGGATTTGTCTCACTCGTGGGGAGAGCATTAGGCTCCCGCTGTCTGGGAGAGGTGCTTGATTCCTGCTGTGACCGCCTGCACAGCAAATGTATGCACGCCTTCTTCCACCAACACTGAGACAATAAACAAGCAAAAAAAAGAATTATTTACTGCAATTAGATTGAATTCACTTCCTGGCAAGCCTAATCTAACATGAATGAGTCCAATAAAAGGTGCGATGAATCCCTCCACACTTCAAATTGCTACATCTCCCGTTCGAAGTCTGTGGAATAAACTATCCTCAGGCTGTACATCCACCACCTTATAATCTTAACACACTGCTCCCACCCCTGCCCTTTCTCAGTATTAACGAGCAGCCTCTTTGTGGGCTCAGTAACAGCAAAGCAGCAGGCCACTTACACAATGTCCTGTAAAGCTTGACAAGGTTATTGATCTTGGTTTAGTGAACAAAGCACAGCTGGCCTGATGGATGACGCCTTCTGTTTGATTATGAATTACCACAGAGATGTAGTCATCTCTCATACAGTCAGCCCACCTCTCTTTCTCTGTCTGTCTGCTTCAACATTTGAGGATGGAGTCTATCATTGCACACCCACACACAAACACTTTACCTTGATGTGATATCAGTCCCCTAGGAATCTCATCATCCAGCCGCCCATCTGCTCCCCACCTCCTCTTAAATCCTGTTTACCTCTGATACACTGCAATCACATTCACACATATCTAGACAAACACAGACACACACTGGAGTCTAAATCCTGTTTACCTCTGGTGTGGTATCATCCTTGCTGTAGGTGTGTTACAGGTCAGCGGTCTTATAAGACTTGGTGTGAAGGTGAATGTGGCGCAGAGGGTGAAGAGAAGATAGATGCTGAAATAGAGGCGTACAACTGGAGTGTATGCGGTGGTTTTGAATTTAAAATGACCCAGAAATCCACTTGGCTTAAATTCTTTATCAGGCCGGTGAGGAGATGAGTTGTGTTATGCAATAAAGAGGGTCCAACACAAGTGGAGTTACTTTAAAGTGGGCTGTTGGATGGAATTATGATGATAAGTGAAAAGTAATTGAAAATGAGCTGTAGGTTATAGTGAAAGCGGATAGGTATTTCACCACCATTGCTGTGTGCTAAGAAGTAAGGAAGGGATGTTTGTCTTTCTTTTGTACACTACAGATCCTGTGACAGTCTTACATCAGTCATTGTATCGCCACACATTCATCCACAGGTTACTGTGATAGTGTATTCCTGTCATGTTGAGAAGTGTAGGGAAGCAATTAGACAATCAATCCATCGAGGGATTTGTCGGTTTTATTGATCAGGGTTATAAATGTGGATTTTTAATCTTTCTATGTGGATTGATGTATCTACTTGACTTAAGGTCTCAGCAGTTTGTGTAACATGTTGTATTGATGTGACTGCAAATTATAACCTAATTAAGCATTCTTAAGGTCTCTGGGGGAGTAGCCCGAGACCTCAGTGGTCTTGAGGAAGTGCAAATGTTGATTTTAGTTGATCTGCAGCTACCAATGAGTAGAAGTGTGTCTCCAGTGAAAATAAAAGCTTGTTTGTATACTTAAAGAGCCATCCAAGTATGCTACACAAGATTATTTTAGAACTTGTAAGTCTAAAGTCAGGAAATACCTGATGGTTGTGAAAATTATTTATGCAGCTGGGATGTTCAGTCTCAGACCTGCACACACACACAAACACACACAGCCACCGACTTCCAAGTTTATATTTTACCCCTGTTATACTACTGGTCTCATTAAAAGAATGGTTACTATGTCTCGTGGAAGTGTACCATCATCATTTTGCGTGGCGTTCCTCTGTGTGCTTAACTAGTTTTCTGCGGCTCTCAGACAGAGCACAGGGTTACAGCTATTTTCCTTGTCTAGAGAATGGGCTTTGGTCTGCTTAATGACTTTAAGATTAAGCTATAATGACAGCTCCTTCCCCTTCAGTGGTTTGAAGCGATGTTTCATATTTTACTGTCTAATAATGTGCTCCGACAGAGCGATAGACGATCTCTGGATTGTGTGATAGTGATCAGCTGTTGTGTTTGGAGACCAGGGGAATTAATTTACACTCTAGTCTTTGCCCACTGTGCTGTTATCTCATTGTCAACAATATCAGATGGCTATTATTGACAATAACCCACTGCGTGTCTTATCTTGCAGAGCGGACCCCTGAACCTGGCCATTGACTCTCTGTCCTGTTTAATTTTATAAATCTAGTGTTGCTGACCTCTTTTCCATGTTTTGCTCACTACAGCTTTCTCCCTCCCTCCCATTATCCAGCTCACTCCTCTCTCTTGCTTTGCCTCCTATTCCTTTGTTTTCACTCCCATCACTGTATATCCTCTCTCTTTCCTCTCTACCCCCATCTCTCCCATAATGCTCTTTCAAGGGATAAATACTTGGATGTGCGTGGCTGCTGTTACTTCTTTTACAGTGATTGAGTTTCTTTTTTTAGGTTTCCATCATTCACATTCCACCCCCGCTGTGTGCTTTCATTTCTTTGTAAACTTTGCCCGCCCACTGATATGTTTGTGACTTAAAATTAAATTTCCTCTTGGCAATAAATTTCCAAGCATATGGGGGAAAGTAGCCCAGAGTATTCTTGAAACACTGAATGGTTCTGTTTCTCCTTCCATGATTTAAACACCAATTGTGCATTCCTGCTGAGATTTGGCTACAAAAAGATGCCCATATTGTATTTTCCTGGTATAAGAAGTACCTTATGACACTGTGTGGGTTTTTAAAGAGAGGCTAATAATACAAGACATTTTTGGTGACCACAATTTCTCAAGAGCTTTACATGCTTACATGTGCATACACAATATTCATAGTGAAACTTCAGTGGCGATTGAAGCCCAGTAGCCAGATAAATGTGTTGCATTACACAAAATACTGCTCAATGGAGAAAAATCTGTGGAACCGAGAATCTGCTTCTCCAGAAACCCAGGAAAGCCTGTAAACGGCGCCACTCTCTGACTGTTCTAGCTAGACACCATCACCATCTGTACTGCTGTGGTCAGGCGTTGTCTGGAGTATGGCAGTGTCCTTCTGGTGGGGTGCCAAAAAAGTCGCTGCTGGAGAGGGTGTTTAAAAAAAGGGCCCTAGGGATCATCTCCTGAGACTGCACCGAAACTCCCATCGCTGCAGAGTAGGAGGGAACAGGCATCCATTCAATTGGTCAAAGAAATGGCACATGCACTACATCCACTCCATGACTCGCTCTCACAGACAAGAGCGGAAAATAAAAACAGACATAATACAAACAGACTGCACCTAAGCAACAACAATTTCTTTGGGGTTTATTTTTGTTTCTGTGTTTCATGTAGGCTCTAGGGGTGGCAATGTCAGTCAGATGGACCACCACCAGACTGAAACTATTGGATGTATTTTTATGAATATGCGTACAGACATTCATAGTCTCCAGAGGATGAAACCCTACTGACTTTGGTGATCACTTAACTTTCCATATACATTTCCATTTACTCATTTGGCAGACACTTTTATCCAAAGCAACTTACATGACCACTAGCATAGCTGTAGCTATGTGTTGAATATTTGATATGATAAAACCATAAAAGCCTCTGTTGGACAGGGGCACGTGCACACGCGCACACACACACACACACGCACACACACACACTAGTGCCTTTGAACAGAGCACCAATGGAACAATGCTCTCTGTGGTTGTCATGGATATGACATACAGTATGTGACAGCTGCAGGGAGTATTTTGGGGTGTTTATAGTTGCTTTGTGACAAGTAGAGCATCTCCTAATCTTGTGCCTGTTTACTGCTTGTTCCCACAGACCTATCTCCTGGGAATCATAATCTCCATATGTGGGAATGTCCTCATCAGTATTTCACTCAACATACAGGTAGGAAGTGCTGGAATCAAGCTGTACGGCAGACACTCAGCACACAGCTGGCACGTTCTGCCTGTAAAAACTAATTTCTCCACTCTCTAAGTACTCCAAGAATGCCTTTCTCCTGACAGTTTGCTCTCACTTCAGCAGACTCTCTATGTGTTCATCAGGAATTTTGTGAACGTACACTGACTGTTTGATCTGCTTGGCTATTTCATGCCGATAAAGCCTATTTTAATTAAAATCAATAGAAGTGAATAGAAATCAATTTAAAATTTATCTTGTGATTAGCAATACAAATTGTACAGCCAAGTTATCAAACATCATTTTTTGCACTTTGAGTGTGGACCGGATTACAGTAATTATGCTCTAACTGCGAACTCTTAAATAATCAATTGAAGTTATTTAGAGAGTAAATGTAATTCATTAACTACAGCACACACCCTATAAAGCCTCTACCAGGCTAAGAGGCTCCACAGGCTGAGGAATAAAAGCATTCCTGTCTGAAATGAGCATTGTTTTTATTGTTTTTTTTTCACACACATAGCAAATACGAAAACTCGTGTGATGCACATGCAAAAACTAGGATGTTTGTGGCAAGAGCATGCAGGGTGTGTAAGACAGATTGAGAGGGCGTGACAGCTTCAACTAAATGTGAAAAAGTGCTGGAAAAGGCTGATAACTGTTGTTTATTAGACAGTGTAAGCTTGTAATGATAGAATTGTTAATGATTATGAGGAACACATTTGTGTGTTTGTCTTGTACAGCTTCCCCCCTCATTGATTTGCTTAATTGGTGTCATGCCTCTTCTGATATGAAATGCTAATCAGCAGAGGATGTTATGGTGTGTTTACAGTTGTGTGACACCCTCTGTAATGCTGTATTATTTTTAAATTGCACCTTATTTTTCAAGTGTGTGTGTGTATTATATATATATACAGTATATATGTATAAATATGTCTGTGTAAGGCTGTAAAGATAAATGTCTGATGTATTGTTTGTCTTTTGCAGCTCTCCAGTTGTTGTAACTACTTAATCTGACTGATGCCTCTGGCTCCTGTTTCCTCTCTCCCTGACAGAAATATGCCCATGTCCGTCAGGCTCAGCGTGGCTCCAAGCCCTATTACACCTCTGTGATGTGGTGGTGTGGTGTGGTTCTCATGGGTGTAGGGGAGCTGGGGAACTTTGCTGCCTACGGCTTTGCCCCAGCATCGCTCATAGCCCCGCTGGGCTGTGTTTCTGTCATAGGTAAGTGCAACTTTTTCCTCCATAAATTCAGACATTATCCATGTGTGAAGGCTGGAGTAGAAGGTTGCATCCTCAGGGAACGACAAGAATCATTGCCATGTGAAGTTTGTTCCTTTTCTTACGATCTTGTCATAAACAGGCCTCTTCATGGCAAGTGCTTGCATTACATGCTGAAAGACAGGATTTACTTTTGTGTGTGGTATCTTTAAAAAAAACTCACTCAGATGCATTTTCCATGCAAAATGGGAGCTATCGTATACAGTACAAATACTACTTGTTTCTAAAAAATTTCATTCAAAACAGCAGAGGCATTGTTGCAGTTTTAAGCTTTCAGTCTTACATCCATCTCATCCTGATGATGGTTTTAAAGTATCAGGATTTGATCTCCAATAATTGCAGAAAATGATAAATAGTTGCAAAGCTTTTACAGAACTGAAGGTGTTTGCTTAATGTTGAGAGCGTGTCTGTCCATCCTGGGAGTGGGATCCCTCCTCTGTTGCTCTTCCTGATGTTTTTTTCTATTTCTTGACCCTGCTAAAGTTTTTAATTGTGGGTCTAAGAATAGATACAGTACAGATTGTAGAGCCCCTTGAGGCAAATTTGTGATATTGTCCTATATAAACAAAAATGGACTTGACTTGAAAGCACTGAGTGTTGACAATCAAAGGCTTCAAACTATGCCTCTGCTCTTTTTTTGGTGTATCTCCACTCTTACATATTTAAATAAATATCAGTGCATCTCCTGGCTTTTAGATGCGGGAAAAACAAATCTTAACAGCACCATTTTCAAGTAACATGACATAAAAATGAAATGCATTAGTGAAGTTTTGTAGTGCTATTTCCAGCATGTGTATCACAACAACACATCTACCTGCTCTGGCAAGGCTGATAGGTTTTTAGCTCATTCAATAGGCTTTCTCACACCTACAAACTTGCTTGAATAGAAATTTCCAACTACTGCTTGATTCTATTTCTTTGAGAATAAAGTAAGACCAACTCCTTTTTATCAGTCAGTGTGTAGGTACATGTAGTAATTTTGACTGTTCCTCCAATTCCTAGTTTATGTCCAGCACTGGAGCCAGAAAATGAATATGTACATTTCCACCCTTAAAATGTTATTAGTGATTCAGGAAGTCCAATTCATTCTGACATTATAAATCCAACAGCCCACTCCAGAAATGATCATTTCTATAGTCCACAGTGTGAACTAAAGCTGTCATGAACTAAGCTGGATTCATTAGCCAATCAAAACAAAGCCTGCGCGGTTGCTGCAGCTGACAGCTGCTCAGTGCAAACACTCTAAACACAGGTTAAATATTGAAAAGGTTCACTTCTTACCTCCCGCCACCCATCACTCACCACGCTGGAGGTGGTGGTGAGTCATGGATATTAATGACAGCTATTACCCCAACGCTTCAAACGATTTTCCTACACTCACGTCTCGCAAGTGGATGAATGGTCTGAATAAAGCATTGAACAAAACCACAAATCTGGTTAAGAAGGCTGCACCTCTTGTACTGTACGGTGTATTTGCTACACTGAGCAATTACTTTTTAAAGGATTTTACCACAATAACGTAAGCACTATGTACTGTTGAGAGCAGCAACCTCTCAGTGCTCTGTCAATGTGTGTAAAGCTGACATGATGACTCCCTTTAAATCACTACTGTGCTCATTTCCATTGTACTATCGTAATTATCCATATAAAACCACTGATTGCTCCACACTAGTGTTGCATTGGAGTGTGCATGAATAATACACAGCAGAAGTGTGTCTTGAAGGAGCGTCTTGAAGAATTAATGAAGCCAGAGATGAAGAGGTGAAAGAAGGGAAAGCAGAGGAAGATGTCGCAGCCGTGACACGGGCTGTCCTGCTCAAAGCTAACAAGTGGTGCTGAGGGAAAAAATGTACAGGTTGCTGTCTGCCATTGTGACTCCACCTCTCACCCCATGCTGACTCACACTGTACACAAATGAGCAAGAGGACACACATAGGCCCACACAAATGCATGCACAACTCGTGTGTAAAAAAACAAAGATACGCCTTAGGTCAACCCCCCCCCACCCCCCACTGCGATGTTGTGCCTGTTTTCCAAAAGCTGTGTGAAGGCTCAGAGGGGGGGAGCAGACAGCGGGAGGGCTTGGGTGAGTAAACAAGAGGGAGGCAAGTGGTTAGAGAGTGGGTAGAAGGGGGGAGGAGAAAGGAGGTTGGATGCTGAGAGGAGAAGATAGTTAGGTGATAGGAAGAATAAAGGACAGGAGAGAACAAGGATATGAATGAATAAGACAACAGGCAGGCAGGCAGAATGGGAAAGGGTTCGGGAGAGCTGATGATGCTGCTGCTGCCATCCACCTGTCACTGCGTGTCACGCTGGCACTCTGAAGCTCCATGGAGAGCAATTACTACTGTCCCCATCCACGGAGCCCACCGATCTCTATTACGAATGACAGCATCATCCCAAATGCTGTTGTATGGAGCAGAGCATCGGCTCTCTCCATCAGATACGATGTCATCACATGCAAAAAGAGGAGGGAGGCTGGCATGGTAGAAACAAACAGAAACCTGATTCACACACAGCTTCAGCATTGCTCACAGATATCAGACCTGCAGCTCTGTACAATTGACAAAGTAGTGTTGTTTGGCACTGTCTGACAGTTTTTATCAATAGATCTCTGGTTTTATTTAAGGAATGTAATTGGAAAAATATGAAACCATGGTTGTTATGGTATTTCACAAAATCATTCAGCCTCAGAACTAGAACTTTTTATTTATGATATCAAATATTACATTTCAAAACTCCTTTGCAGCATCAATATTACAACATTCAGCTATTGTTCAAGAGTGTCTGAAAGCTGGTATTAAAACTCCAGAGGACAAGAGAGCTTCCAAAAGTCTCTATTTTATGTCATGTGTGTGAACACACGATATGTATAACGTGGCAACAATTCATATATTTGAGTTTCTCTGGGAGAACAGCTCAACTTTCACAGCTTGCATTCGTTCATGTGTGATCCGACTGTTTGACATGGTGTGCTTTCTCTACAAGGAGTTTCCCATTACTACACATATGAGAGAGAGCATGTAGAGGGGCAGTACTGATGTGACGCACACACACAAAGCTCCATAAACACACAGGCACAGTGACAGAACTGTGTACCCCCAGAGGTTCCTGTTGCCACATTTCTCATTTTATAAAGCCGTGTGAATCTCACTTTGTATGGAGTTGCTATGGTTACTTGTTAGATCCAGCTGGTCCCAGAGGCAAAGGATGAGTCCTAAACGTGCATGCGAACATGCTCACAGTATGAAATATTTAACAACTAACTGTTTCATATAAATACCAATCAGAGTCTTTATAAACTTCCAATTTGACAGTAATGTCCCCGTATCCATGCCTTGTGTCACACAAATAGTTACAGCCATTGAGCATCCATTTTCCTTTCTATTTTTTTAATTATAGCAAACCTTTTCATGGCTCAGGATTATTAGTGTTGCTAAAATTGACCCTCAGGTGGAAAAAATTGCTAATAAACTGCAACTGTGGTGAACAGTCAATGCTTAAGGTTTATATTGAGAACCTGTCTGTCATGCCACAACACCACAGTAAGCCTATGCGTGACACGCTGTGTGTCTCTGACATGTTGAGCTGTTTATGCTCTGTAGCTAATCTCCTTATGATGGTGGCAGAGCCTGTACACAAACTCAAAATGCCTGTCTGTCTTTTTTCCTCCCAGTATTTTCCAGCAATTTTTCCGTTCAATTAGTCTTTCTCTGTCTGTGTGCCATCGCCTGCACCCCCCCGTCTGGCCGGCTTACTGTAGTTGTGTCCAAAATCCTCCAGCTAACACAGCTGTCATAGCTGGCTCTGCTGAACTATTGGTGGGAAATATAACAACATAACGTCAGAAAAGGATGTAAAATTAGCTACTCGTTGTGTTGTTAAGTGCAGAGGACCTCCAGCCACAGTGTGTCATGTAAACTGACCACCTTACTGTGACAGGCTGCTGTCACTTGCATATCTGTTTCTGTCCACTGCCTCTTTGTCTTCTAGTTTGTTTTTCTGGTTCAGTCAGGTAGTCCGCCTGTGCGACCATCCATCTGTGTATCTGCCTGTTTATCAGCATGCCTGTGTGATAGCCAAATGCTGTATGTTTATGCTTCTTCCTCGGTTCGGTGCATATCACGGAGAAACATTAAGAAGACTAATCTGAGGCTTAGCTCGTATGAAACTGATTGCTTTTCAGCAACGCAATTTTTGACAGTGATATTGATGAATGGGTTCCTGAAAAATGTGGCGTGGAATAGCATCTCGCTGTAATGTGATGCTGGTGTTATGAAGTCATAATGAGTTCCATTTATCAAGGCAAGCTAACACATTTTATCTGGCTGATAAATATAAACATGTCAAGCATTGTGTGTGCATTATATGTACATGAATCTATTCATGTGGACAGGCATTTATACGGTAAAGTCTCACTGTGTGCATGTGTGCATGACTGAGTGCTTGTGTGCATGTGTAACTACAGTATAATTTGTATGACATACAGTATATATGAGAAATGACAGTGATATCCTCACATTGCACGCTGCACAGTAAAATCTTATTATGTCTCATCTTAATACAGTATACATGTATACAGCAAAGTGTAGTCTGCAAAACTATCAATCCAATTGGTATTTTTATGAAGTCAATATTCAGTCAAGTATCGGACCTTGCTATTGATTATATTGACGTGTTGCATCAAAAAATAAATAAATCCAGAATATGAGATTACAAAAGAATTGCTGAACAGCAATTATGTTTTATTGTCAAGGGACAAGCATTTATTGTTATGTTATTGTAATAAACAACAGAGAGCAAGATGTTTTCACTCTACAATTCATATTATTTGGTGTTAAATGTATCTAAAATATACAGTGTGAGGATAAAACTGTGTATGACTTCACATTATATTCAACTGAATGGTAACTACGGCATGTTTTATTGGTGGCTGAACTAACAGGAATATATTTTCACTTCCCAGCCAGCGCTGTCATATCTGTGGTTTTCCTCAAGGAGACACTGCGCGCCTCTGACATTGTTGGTAAGCGCAAACACTCACAGTCGGATCATAGCACTTGAGGACGTCCATGTCCTGTCAGATTGCTGCTGTGACTTGACAACATCTCAGAGTTGAGATACAGTTTGAAAATATCCTGTAGCAGAGGAAAAATATTTCATTTTGACTGAGCTAGAAATCAAACATTTGGTCCACTTGTTAAAAAGTCCAATTGATGTGTGTTGCTGCCAGTGGAAAGAAAATGCATAATTGAATCTATTGAACAGACCTATCCTATTATATTGTTTTATGACAAGCTATTGTTTGTCCTAAAAAAAAAAAAAAAAGTAGAGTCTGCTGCAAAATGACATGATTGTGATGGTCATCACAATGACAGTCATTTCAACTGCTAGATTGGAAATGAATACCAGCACCACACATCCCTGCATGTTGTTGGTTTCCTGGATAAATCATCAGTAATTTTCGCCAGTTTTGCTATCGTCTTATAATTGTTGAGTGTCATTATCAGCCAGCTATTGGAAACATTTAATTGTATGAGCTGTTTTTCAGCAGTGCCCTGTTTGCAAAAGGTTATTCAGACCAATACCAGATGTATAGCATGACAAATTGAAAACTAAAAATTATATTCAGCTTGTGGTAGTGTTTCAATGAATAAGGTAAATTATGAGTTTGCCAAGTCCAAGAATATTCTTTAGTCAGAATTTCTAAACAAAGACTGCACACGTGAAGCACAATGCATTTTGAGCTAAAGGAGGCTGGTAAGATATGTTTTTATCATGGCTTTATAAGAAAAAAGGATATTTGTGCCTATTGGATGGGACATCTACAGGATGTCAAGTATATATTTGTAACCTGTACCAGGTTAAGGAATGTGGTGAATGACATCACCAAAGTCATAAATGGCAGCAGACCCTTTTTTGGGTTTTTTGTCATTAGCTTGTAAGCAGACATTGATATACAGTATCTCACAAAAGTGAGAACACCCCATTTTTTGTTTTTTTAGCCTTTATTTCAGATGGAACAGAGAAGCAGGAAATGAGGGAGTGAGAAAGCGGACACAGTGCAGCTAAGGGCCGCTCCGATAAGGACCAGCTGAGCTAATCAGGGCCCGATTTAAAACCAGTTTTGTGATTGATGACATTCTTTAAATGGTCTGTATACAATCAAGACCAGGCTGTAGAAGCATGTGCTCAATTGTGTCTGCATTTGTGTATAATATAGCATCAGTAATGTACAGCTTTATCAGAGCCCAAGTCTTAATACTAATGTGACTTTTTATGATGTATTAAGGGTTCATGAAGAAAGAATTGAAATTTAGGCAGTGACATTTAAGTCACTTTGGACACCTTATTTCTGAACAGCCTCAGCTACCTGTGAGCCTCAACCTCAAATGATAAAGTCATTTGCCAGTTTATTATGTCCACCTTGCTAAAACTAATACAGTTAGTAAGTGAACCTACCCTCCTTGATATAAATGGGGTGGACAAAATAACAGAAACACATGTTGGTACAAAGTGTAGTCTTCATGAATTTATTCCAAGACTGTTGTATTAGAGTGCATTAGTTTAGCTAGGTGTACCTAATAAACCGGCAAGTGAGTAGCTGTCCAGAATTTCAGAATAGTTACCAGCAGCACTTACAATTTAAGGTGAGCTAGCGGGTTCATGTCAAGTCAGTGGATCTGTCAAACCAATATAAAAACCTTTTCACTACAATCTCACCACTCTCTGCTCTCTTTCTTTCATAGGTGGAACTCTGGCAATAACAGGAACGTATGTCCTTGTGACCTTTGCCCCCCACACTTCCACACACATCACAGCCCACCTGGTCCAGTACTACGCCGTCAGCTGGCACTTTGTGCTTTACCTCGTACGTAACCCTTTGAAACTATCCTGCCTGAGTCCAGTAATATATACTGTATGTGTGTAAGCATGTTCTTGTTTCCTTGGGGTTACTGTATACTGTTGTGTACTTTTAGCAGCACGCCACTGAAATGACCTCAAACAAAATGTGTAGCTACATTGCGGCTCCTGTCCTGCTGTTAATTCGCTTATACCAACCTTTAACCTCTTGGTGGAGAGGAACAAGAGGAGGATTACTCTAAAGGGTTAATTAAAGTGTTTTTATTATTCATCTGTCAAAGCGTTGAAATGCAGCTGATGAATAACCTGACCTCAGAGAATGATGTAATTAACCCCTGCACCAATGAAAGATCTCCTGTTCTTCTGGCTCATATGGATGAGCTCAGTGTGGCTGTTTTGTTTCATGGAATTTGTGAAGTGAAGAGGGAGTCCATTAAAACTAAGATTGTCTAAATTTTTTGCACTCAGTATTAAAAAATACTGCCCCCTCCTCAAGCTCTGCGAGTGCATTAACACACACCCATGCACTCTCTTATTCCAATTTTGCTTCAGGCAGGGATGGCATAAACATAGCGGTTACCATAGTGATGGATCTCACACAGAGCTGAAACAAAGTGTTTTTCTCAAGACCAACTCATCACAAAAATGTAAATGTTAACACTAGTTGCACCTTAGATGTTTTTAAAAGGAAGACTTCTGCAGCACAAGGTCATATCCTGCTGCTCTTCCATTGATGCCTCCCCTGATAACAGCAGAGACAAAGAGAGGGAGCTCTGTGTTTGTTCCACCTTTCAGGTTAAACTTCTAGAAATACAGTGCTTTGTGTAATTCAATAGTGAGGAGTAAAGAGAATCACTATTTATGTTTTGCTAGGAAGTGTGATTCCTTTGATCTGTTGTAAGGAGATTACTATTTGAGGTCTTGAACACCACAGAGGACCTATAGCCTATTGCATTTCTTGTATGTATTTATATATATTACATTTTATACTGCATTTATTTCTATAAATCATCATATATATACAAAATCACCCCTGAAACGCTCACATATTATCACATCAAATCCTGTATATTCCTTTTACTGTTTGTGGAACATAAACTGCACATAATCCATCAAACCAGGCAGAGATGAACCTTAAAGGATACGCTTGCAGGTCATCAGGAAGGCTAGCCAGTGGTGTAATAAGTGAACATGTGCCCTGGGTAGCAGTACCATCATCATTCACTGCATAGCATTTGTTTCAGCCATTTTCCACATTCCACTCTTGAATCTGGTCCTCTTTGCTGAACCAATGCGAACACAATCAGATACAAAAAGCAGCTATTGGATGAAAAATAAAAGAGAAATGTTCAAGTAGATTTTAGTAAAAATACAGACAGACAGATGTTTTCAAATGGAGACAGTCTTGCTGCCTCTGGCTGCAGTGATTGATGGTGTATAAAAGGGTATGCTGTTTTCCATTTCTGGCAATGCATTGTGAATTCTCATCACCCTGCAGAGGAACTACCTCCAACCGTATGGGATTAACTGTAGGTCGTGATTAATCAGAGGAAAATGAAATATCTATCACTGTCTCATTATTTCCAGAAGTCATACAATTATCAAATGATTTCATCTGAAAGGACTCGTAAAATGATATCTATCGCAAATGACCCAGGTCTTTCTAAATTACTTTCCATCAAGACTAATGAAATCTTGAAAGTAGCCCTTTATTTAACATTTATAGAGACACAGGGTTGATTTTGAGAGACATTTAAAGGTCAGCTTGCCTTTTTTCCCGCAATTCTACGTTTATACTCCTTTCGTATTCTCCATCCATTAGCGCCATTTCGTTATGTCAGAGGTCCTTGAATAGCTGAATGCTATTGGACCCACAAGGATAGCCCGCGGCCCTTCTCATTAAATTTTTTATGCCACAGTCATTTGTTTTATTTAAATCATACTGTCTGCTTACAGCACTTAGTTATATAGATAACATGGTCAGTGAAAGTACAATCTGGGTGCAATTCAGATTTTCATTTTCTGTGCTAAGTTAGAGGAAATCTGCATTAATGATTTGTGTACCCCCCACCTTCCCTTCTCTCAACAGTTTATAGAGGTCATCGTCTTTTGCATCCTGCTCTATCTGTACAAGAGGAGGAATGTGAAGCACATCGTCATTGTGATGCTGCTGGTGGCCTTGCTCGGTATGAACAAATGGAGGATGCCTGATTGAGGGCAGAGGTTATGGATTCAACCATTTTAGGTGGTCAGAGGTTGCTTTGTTGCCTGGCTACCAAAAGTGGACCCATGTTCTGTTATCATTTCAGTTAAGAGCTGAGTAGAGCATGATGGAAGAAAGTAATTCACTAAAACTCACTAGAAGACAATGAACCACCTCTACAAAACAGCATGAACCAATGAATAAGTTCTTTATTGCTACAAGTTGTACAACTAAATGCTGAAGTGGTCTGTTGCTTCTGTGTTGCTGCAGCCTCTCTGACAGTCATTTCAGTGAAAGCTGTGTCAGGGATGATCACAGAGTCAATAAAAGGCCAGCTGCAGCTCATCTACCCCATCTTCTACGTCATGCTTGTTGTCATGGTCGCCTCCTGCGCGTTCCAGATCAAGTTAGTCAAGGTTTTCTCTCTCTACTTCTGTGTACCTTTTTTTTTTTTTTCTCTCTCTCTCTTCCAGCCTCTTTTTATTGCTCAAATCCCTGATGTTTGCCAAAGGCTAGATGCAATTATGGCTTTCCAGTTCCTGAACAAACAAAGGAAAATAATATATTGTACACGGTGACATTGTACCTTCAGCGTACCTACAGTTTTATGATGGATGAATATACCACTACATGTTGCCTCTATAACCAAGGTCATAATATTCACTGCACCTCTCAAACCTTCTTTTCTTGTCTCTCTCCAGATTTCTCAATCAGGCAATGAAAATGTTTGATGCCACAGAGGTGGTCCCTATCAACTTTGTGTTTTTCACCGCAAGTGCCATTGTTGCAGGTATGTCCACCATAAAGCTCTCTCTGTGGGTTAAGTTTTACTCACTGACTTCTGCCTGAAATGATAAGACGAGTGATATTTTGTATTTTTCTTGTCAACAAATCCCAAGAAAAGACCAAAACCACCAATGAATTGACCCAATATTTCATGCATAGCCTGACATAACTTATTATGTGCCCTAGAGCTCCATTGTTGTCCAGAAATGTTAAAAACAGATAATTGAGCCACTGTAGTTTAGTTTGAGTCAGTCCCACATACATTGTCCTGGTGCCACCACTCACTAGCAAACAAAATATGTATTAACTTGCAACTGAAAGTGAGTAGTGTCTGGACCCAAGTGGTGTATGACCAACAGATCCACATTGCCATTTCTAGAGCCACACAGCTAGCGTGGCTAAAAATCAAACTAGATTTCAGAATAATTTTCTATTAATTTCCAAGAAATTTTCTTGAGAGAATTGTGTAAATTGGTACTAATTACAGGACAAATTGAGACTGTTAAATTGATACACTTTGAATTAATTACTTCCAATTAATTACTAGTCATAATGAGTCATTTAGTCTTGTCAACTGAAAATGCAAAAATCTGTCTACAGGCAGGAAAATTCTGTGAAAACTTAAATTACAGACACATAAGATTCACGTCTTCAGTAGGAACCAGTGGTTTGAGTCAGGGGCAGGGAAGACAGATAATATTATAAGACTAATGTATTGTTGGTCTTATCCTTAAAGAATTGTATGAAGGATTATTTTTGAATGATGAAGATGTGCTCCAAAGCTCACTGCAGTAGTTGAAATTGATTCATGAAGCAACCCAGTGGAACAAAATACAGTCAATATGATGTTTCACTCCTGTATCTGTGAACCATTTAGGAGTCCTTCAGGAAAAGCTCGCAAGTTTTTATAGCATGTGTATTTAGCCAGGTCAGGTCTTTATTATCCTGTCAGTAATTGTGTTTTTTTTTTTTATTAGGTCTGGGAAAAAAAAATAAAAATCAAGAAATGGTTTCTTAGAAGCATTTTTTTTTTCTTAAAGGGAAAATACACCCTAAAACACTTTATGCATAAACTTTATGCTTAAATTACTAAATCCATTTTCTTACTTGTTATTCTTCTTGTGGATAAATTCCCCAACCGCTGGTGACTAGCATAATTTCAAGCGATTCCCAGTGCCGCTTCAGTGGAGTGTAAGAGCAAAGAAATGTTCCTGCAGTCCAAAACATCAACAGTAAACATCAGTTTTTGGTGTCAGCTTCTTTCCACCGTTTTGCACTGATATCCCACAATCACACAGGGGGGCATCCATCATAGAGGAGAAACAGCCACAAAGCATGTGGATATTTACATTACTCGCACTTTTTCTGAGAATTGCTCTCGGTATTACTATCGCGCTCTCCGCCTACACATATAAACCACAATTGACTGCAATGAACAACAAATTGCTGATGTATGTGGAGCAGAGAGTGAAGAGAGCATGTGAGCACAGAAAAGTGAACATGGACTGTTTTTTGCCAACTAGCACCTATTGAAACTATCACTGAGAGGAAATTGTTCTCTATTGGACACTCTGCGGGTTAATCAGTGATCCTGAACATTTTCTTTCTTGCTACTCATCTGAAAGAACTACACTATTCAGTTAATAATAAAACTATTTTCCCTCACCACCCCAGTGTAATGTGCTCAGGATTTGCAGGGCTTCATTTCACAAAGCACTTTAGATATACCACATATTGTGGTATTCTAATAGCAACCGAATGCATTTTAATGTGCTTTTTCATTTTGCAGGGATAGTATTTTACCAGGAATTTGAAGGCCTGGCTTTACTGAACATTTTTATGTTTCTTTTTGGGTAAGCATTCAATACTACAACAGTAATTGGCTTAAAATGTGGTATTTACTGTAAGATGGTGTCAGTCCTTTCTGAAACTCTTTTCCAGTTGTCTTCTGTCCTTCCTTGGAGTTTTCCTGATAGCCCGAAACAGGCCAAAAATAAAGCATCAAGATCGCAATTTTATCGCAATGGATAGGATTCCTGGTAAGTTTTTGATCAGTTCTTCACAATAGTAAGTTACATGCTGACCTATTTAAGGCGTATTGATTAGCCAGCAGTATGACACTATGAATCTGCTGCCAGTAGCCCTTGACTTATCTAACTGCTAATCTCTGCAGCCCTGGCAGCACCGTCCATCTAATGAGCTCTGCTGTCCATGTTCACAGGGATAAGGCACACAGACAAAGTGCAACCTGAGGCGAAGACTCAGACATACGGATCGCTGGCAGCCAAACTCATGTGCAACAGAGCTGGCCAAACAGAAGATTCATAGGACCTCCATCTGTTGGGACTGTAAATTTGTGGATTTGTGTGCATGCTTGTTTCTGCGTACCTCAGTAAAATCTTCATAGATACAAATGGTTGGCATCAATTCAAACCAGAGCCAGCTGAGCGTCAGTATTTGTGGCCATATTGGTCTCGACTTTGTCAAAATGCCAAGTATTCCCTTTCAGTATCCTAGAAGATTTTCTCTTTTGTCAAACGTATTTCCAACAGGGTTGTCAGGGATAACTGATTTGACTCTAAATGAGATGAAACCTCAGGATCACAGCGCAACATCAAATGGCCGACCAGCAATAATTTCCTTCCAATATAACAAATGCATTATGTTAATCAGTAGAATAAATTGGTCTGTGTGTGATCAGCTGTAAATAAACAAGGACAAAATCCGATATTTCAACTGTGTGAACATTTCATGTTCTGCAGCAAAATAAGTGCATTACTGCCCTCTAATGGTGGAAGCTCAAAGATGACCAGGCAACTTTGACCATGTGTGATGTTAATCTGGGCTGAAGTGAATTCACTTAATTTGAAAGGACGAACAGAGTAGTTAAATAGTATAAACCTTCCTTCATGGCTGATCAGTTAACGTTGCTCACATTTATACGGCAGGTTTTAATTCGTATGTGAAACCCTTGAACATGCCTCACTGTGGAAGCTGTTTCCATGGAGCTGTAACATCACTTGTCTAAAAAGCATGGGATAATGCACAGCCTGCCCGCCCATCTTTACCTCAAATAAACCACAGACTACATACTCAACTGCTAGCAAACTTTAGTGTTGCCAAGCAACAAAACTCTTATCTGCCACCTACACATTATGGGATGTGTGGGAAACCAGTGTTCATGCCAGTGTAACTATAAAAAGAACGCATGTTAAAGTATCAGTTGTTAAATGCATTTACTTTAAGAGCCAGGCCATAATGTTGGAGTGTTGAAGGTTAAATTATTAAGTGTGCTGCAACTGTATGATTTTACACAGGAGAAGGTGACAGTAATTACCCACGGATGGCATTTTCTGGCGAGTGCAGTATGGGTATTTTATTAGCTCATTTTCAAACAAAACATTTTCAATCTAGTGGCATTTTAAACACAAACTGCCACTTTCATCAAATTCAAACTCATTCATTTTGACTTTTTAAAAATTATAGAAGGCCACCAACATAAATATTCCCAGCAACATTAGCATGGATATAGAGGGATGTCAAATAAGTAATAAATGAGTTAATTTCTGAAACCCAGTTGATAAAAGGCTGAACTAATCTCTAACTAAAACCAAGGCTGGCATTCAGTATTTATCTTATCGCTTTGTGGAGTATCCCTCTTACAAAGGCATTGATATGGAAACAAATACAACAACCAAAATTTTTCAACTGAAAAAATGAGGATGTCTCTTCAGAGTGAAATATACACAACAAAAAAACAAAACAAGTCTTTTCACAGCACCACCAGGTAGCTTGTAGTCATTCCTCGTGCATGCCTTTAACTTTTCAACTAACACTGTAGGGTTCATGTTGGCACAATCCAAGAAAGCAACTATCAAGGCACAGGGATCACTTAGTGAAGGAAGCATCATGCGACAGAAGTAGTATTGACCTTTCTCCATTAACCAAGAATTTAGTGCTTTTTGGAAGTTAAGTTCTGCATAGGCTCAGATGTTTTAATCAGACTTCTATGTTAATTTTAGTAAAGCGGTACTGCAGGGAGGAGGGGTTGCGCAGCAGCAACATTCCTCTGTGTTCCATTGGCTGGTTGAGGAGGGTGTTAAGGAGACCGGCAACGCTGACAAACCCCAGAGCCTCCCCACAGCCTGCAGACAGGGAGAAGTCACCCTGAGTGACCCAGCCTAGAGTCACCCGGGAGCAGGAAGAGGTGACGCTCGGAAGAGGATCCGGCCACACGCCGAAGATGAGTCCTGAGGATGACGTGGGGGTTTCAGATGTGGTGGTGTTTGGATCAGTGGCAGAAAGAAAGTCTGACTTGTTGCCATCAGTCTTATCAGAAGAGGATTTAGCAGCTTTCTTGGGGCCGTTCTTTTTGCGTTTAATCCTGCTTTTAAAGTGGTCTCTGTGTGGGGGCTCCTGGGGGCCGCTGCTCCCGGGCCCTTTCTTCAGAAGCTGTAGGTCCTCTGTGGTTGGCACACACACCATGGCGTGGAGTTCTGGTTTACCCTTGGACAGCAGTGACAGACGCACCCACACCAGACCCATCCCATGTGCTCTGAGAAACGATGTCACAGCTGAACGGTCGAGAGGCGGCGCCTGCCCAACACGCCACGGCCTCTGACCTTTGGACGTCGTGGGTCTGCACCAACCAGAGAGCAGCCTCAGAGACTTTATGTTCCTTGGAAGCATAAAAACAACCAATATCCACTTATGAACACGTGATTAACATTCAAAAAGGAAAAGTTGCATTTTCACTGGCCCCATTAAGCACCCTGAGAGACATAAAATTTGGTTGAAGAACATTTTTTATTCCTAAAGCTGAAAACAAAAAGGCAGCCAATGGAGAGTGAAAATCAATTCAATTTTTTTCTCATAAAGTCAGTCATTACTCAAAGCTTGTGTGATTGTTTTATGACGATAGATGCAACTCTTTCCCTCTACTAATCTATTTGATGTATTGCAGCAATTTAAGCCTGGATGTACTTTGGGTATTCTCATCAGGGACATTATGATGAAAGGGAGGTGGAGTGGACAAGTGCCATGCATCAAGCCTGTCAAAAGCTGCGCTGGGGTCTTTTAATAAAAAATATGAGAAGTAGTACATGATGATTAGAGCCTGAAGCCCCAAAAAACAGTGTACATTTCTGCTCAAGGGACCTTTAAAAGTCAACTGCATTAAGATTGTTAGAAGTGTGATTTAGAAGTGCAGGATGTTAAACGTCTGAAGGGAACTTGGCTTAAACCTGCAGTGGGTGTGTGTTTCGAGTCAATACTGATGAGTTTATTTTCACAATAAGACAAGGGAGATGATGGAAAAAAAAGAATAAATCTTCAGTATATAAAATAAGTAAAGACAAACACTTACCTCAGTACAGTGACGCGGCTCTGAGACCTTCTTCCAGCGATGTCTCCATGTGATGTCATCTCCACCTCCATCACCGTGGCGGCTTCTGTTGTGGTTTGGGTCTGGCCGTCTTCTTTCCTCTGCTCTCCTCCTTCCTTCAAGATAAGCTCCCACTCCTCGGTCAACTGTTGCCATGGGCAACGGAACGGAGCCAGACAGCCGTGTTTTATGTAATTGGTCCTTTTGGCGGGCGGACGCCTACAGAAGAGGTCAGAAGGTCAAACCCTTGTCAAACTGTTGGGGCAACCCTGCCAATTTCTGTAACAAATCATGACTGCTGAGCAGCAGATAGTAGGGGAAGAGCAGCGCGCAGCCTTATTACCATCTCATCTGCATGGTGGGAAATATCTGCATAATGGAAATTAACTGGGGTCAGAGCTGTGAGTGCTTCCCCTCTATCAAACCCTCTAATCCACTGACATTATCACCACTGACTTAGGCTAGTGAATATTATCTTTTCCTAGCAGCTGGAGGTACAGTCATACAGTAACAGACCACTACAAAGCAGCTGTAGTTTAACATGGTCTCAATTTCACCTTAACTTATTTACATGAAAACAGTTTCCTCACAGTTTTCAGTATTTTAAGTTACCATAGTTGATTAAAATAAATTGTCAGTAAAATGGACCATTATTCTGGGCAAGTTCTTAAGATTCACTGTAAACAGTCTTTACTATGTTTCCAATAACCACGCACACAAAATTATTATTTTTGGTTCCTTTCCTGCCTAGTTTTCAGCCGACCTTTTAAACTTGTACAGGAGTTCTGCCTCCTGCTCCTCCTGGAAGTGAACGCCTGCAGGGCAGTCTGGGTAATCATGGGGGAAGTGGGGGGTTCCTTTATTCTGAGAGTGTTTCAGGCTCATGTTCAGCCCTCCAACGCGAACTCCTCTGTAAACCTGGCAGAGGCAGAAAAGAGTAAACAATGGATTTTCAGGGAACTTGACATATAAAGCAAACCAGAGGGTTTCTAGTCTGCCTTTAAATTTCAAGGTACATTAAACATTTTCACTGCGCTTTTCCAAACAAAATGGAACTGCCCCAAAGCATGGACGAGGCATGCAGGCCAACAAATAGGAACATCTTTCACAGAGCTTTCCATACAGACATCCTCTGTGTTATACACTAGATACATGCAGCCTCACAGCACCTAAGTGAACATATGTCTACAACATGTCTAATACAGCCAGTGTTAGAATATGTCAAATGTTGCTGGTTTCAAAAAACCATAAGATAGGCGGCAGCTCCTCAGAATGAAATTGATATTTTAACAGCGTTTTCACCAAAGTTAAACCAAACTTATCACTGCTACTAAGGGGGAAAACAAATTAGTTCCAAAACCACTACTTTATGGCAGAAATGAAATGATAATTAAGGATGAATCATTGAAATTCAATTAAATAAAAGTGAGGTCCCATGCTACTTACCAGTGGGACCCAAAAGGCCATGCCCCATCCTTTAGGAAGCAGCAGGTCCCATCCAGCACCCCAGGTGCTCATCTCATGTCCCACCTGCTTGCCAGGCTGGTGAATCAGCAGGATGGGGACTCGGCTCTGCAGGGGAGTGGGGCTTAGCCTGGACCCCGGCACTAGCACCTCACGTCTCATACGGTTCAACGTCTGTAGGCAACACACAAAAAACGCTACAGGCAAAAGCAACGTCTGAGCTCATCTGTACTTTCAGAAATAGCGATGTTAGTGTTAGACAATGAAGAAAGCGTCAAGATAGTTATATTATATTATTATTACTTAGTATAATAATCATGATTACAGTAAGACATTTCTACTACCTGCTCTGGTATCTTGTTATCAGTGACGTTGTCCCGGACAGACTGCTCCCACAGGTAACTCTGACAGCAGTGTTCTGCCACTCCTTGCAACATCAGGTCCTTCCTCTTCTCTTCGTCCACCTCTGAAACAAGCGCGCGCGCACACACACACACACACACACACACACACACACACACACACAGTGTGCTCCTGAATGACTAACATCACTGGTGTCAGCAGAGACATATTAAGCTCTCAGAAACAGTAACATGCTATAATAGTCCCTTATTTACATATGATGCACCCTAATTTATGCAGGTGGGGTGACTAAGCCTGAATGGATAGTTTGGCACAGCAAAATTAGCATAGCCTAAATACAATACAGAATGGAACATAACAAAACATCAGCCACGTTTACTGGCTTTCACAATGGGAGCCCATGGTATTAAATCTTTCCCATTAAGTACTAAATATGACATGCAAGTTTAAAATAGGGTTAAAAATGCTGTTTTGTCACAGAGCATAATTTTTTTTCATTTCATTACATTTATGTAATAAATATACA